TAATCTTAATTGTATAATGAGTATAAACATTTGGTTTTGTAGACAACAATAAAAACATCAACTGAAGAAATACAATACAATATGGATATTGATGAAAACAAATGTGCTGAATACATTTCACTATGTGTGGTTAACGCTTTGTCCAAAGATGACGTTATTATAGAAATTGCTATCAGTGACATCAGCAATTATGTTTTTGCAAGTATAGTTTATTTATTCATTGACTTATGTAAATATATTCAATTATTCTAACTTTGACACTATTTTAGTCACCAGTCGATCTTTATTGGCTTTGTTTATATTCGGAAGAAAAATTAGATACTATTACTATGGAACATACCTTGAAATTGCCGACTGGTGTAAAAATGATTGATCAAAAACAATATCTTTGTCCTGATAACAAACATTCTATATATTACTGTTAACGCGAACAGTGTTGGTAAGAGCGTGCATTATTAAATTATATTGCATGTTTTTGTCATTACTATAGCATAACATTATTATTAAATTGAACACTATTCAAGTATTATAAAGACAATGTTGAACGGTCGCATTTTTGTAGATACACTGACGTCTAGCCGAGAAATAAGTGTGCAAGGCAAAAATTAGTAGCAATGCAATGGTTATGTTACTACATCCGTATCAATGAGCAATACGAACAAGCACCGGTTCTGGTATCTATTCTTAAGGCATGACATTACACAACGACACGATGGTTTATAACATATTGAGATCTACAGTATGTGCTTGCTTATTGAAAAACATCTGCATTATCTGTTATTTAGACCAAGCACCGAACTCACTTGTTTTGTACTAAGATATTTATTTATTCTTCCTTCTAAAACTCGACTACAAGCAATCAGATGTGAATGTACCGTTGTCCGCATAGAGTCTGAACTGTTTGTACTCAAGTGATAGTGTTGAGACATTGAAATAAGAATGTTTTGTAAACGCACTTAACAAGTCTTTGTACTAGCTTTGCGTAGACGACATTAGCGTGGGGTAAAAAATGTTTGATGGTAACGATAAGATTGACACCCATTCGATTTTGTACATGTAAACGACCTAATACGAGCCGAACCAAGCAAGGCATGATTTCATTCACACTTTGTGTTAGGCGTGGGGCAGGGTCAATATTGCCGTAACTATTGTATAAATGCGCTAATTCGATCGCTGAGAGATGTGTTAAATTACGTGTTAAAATAATATTCATATCAATAAATACTACGATTAATAGTGAAATTAAAATAAATCTAATCTATCGATTAAGTATATCGATATTGACTGAACAAGAAATACGCGTCAAAGCTAATCGCAGTTTTCTAACTAATACTCTTCATCTAAGATTATTGATTGGATATATTGTTTTACAAAAGCCAAAGTTAGCTACAAGTGGGTCTCGATATAACGACACTGCTATATAACGACATCTCGTTATAACGACAGGAATCTTAGAACGAAAATTTTATATTGCTTAATTGCCGTATGTAAGTTAATTCTCGATATAATGACATTCTCGATATAATGATCATTTGGAGCGTGTCGTTATATCGAGACTCACTTGTATTGCAGTGAATGAACCGTCGCAGCGTTCAGGTAGAAAGAATAGCTTAATTTATATCTCATGGAAGGAACAGGTTTAGAAGAACTTAGTGGTAGACTGGTTTAATATGTTAAGCAGCAATCAATATTAGCGTTTGAATTTGAACATCTGCGTGATTATTGAAAGCTGATAGGTTGAAAAGCAAAGCCGCCGAGCATATAATCCCATGATCTTTCGCTTAACGCGTGACTAGGGTATTTTTCTATTGTGTAGAATTCTATTACACACATACTCGATAGAAGTATAGGGAACATGATAAACACACAATCAAGCAATAATGTGAACACTCGCAATGTAGAACCATTAGACGTTACGACACTCACAACTTTTGACCTTGAACCGGCTGCTGAGCAAGATAACGAGACGGTTCTATCAAAGATATTTCAACGCGTAAAAAGTTCATTTAGTGTTATAACTCCACCAATTGCCACCACATCCTCAACATTAGTCACTGGAGAACAAAACAATACTGCCTCTACAACCTCGGCAGAGTCAAAAGGTATTAATGCTTCCTTACCTACGTCCTCAATGCCGGAAAAAGATAAGGGTTCTGTTCAAGACGCTTCACCTAATGTTTCGCTATCGGACGATGTAACTGTGAGTTCAGATAGTGCCAAGTTCGATAACCCCACTGTTCAAGTAACAATGGCGAAAGAGAAAGAAGATGCAGCGGCTACAAAATCTGCTCCAATTACTACTCCAGAAAGTAGCAATTCAGTGTCTGATAGTAAAGTTATTCGGAGGTTAAGAGGAGAGGGCATAACCAAAGATTACTGGATGGCCGATGACACTTGTAAAGAATGTTATATCTGCAAAGTCAATTTTACCACATGGAGGAGGAAGCATCATTGCCGTACTTGCGGTAAATATCCAATTTCTGTTACATAAAACACAATTTTCCCAACGATTAGCAGTAATGTATTAATGATTCGTTCTTAGTATTTTAATTGTATGTTTTTGGTTTTAATAAATTAGGCCTGATATTCTGCTCCAAGTGTGCATCTAATATAATATCCGGTGAGAAATACGGTCATGATGGACAGATGCGGGTGTGTGACCTCTGTCTGAGTTTAATGAAGGAACATGGTGATTATGATGAGAATGATAACGGCGACTGCAAGAGGGTTTACTATGAAAAGTACGACCCCGCTGTCTATAAGTCATCTCCTGCTTCCTCCTTACAAGACGGTTTTCATACAGCACCATATACTTCAGCTGATGCAAATAAATCGACATCGTCATTGATGCATCCTCTGCAAAATATCATCCCACGCGCACCCTCGCCAGATACCATCTCGATCAACGATGGGTTTAGGAAAATACTTACCGCTGGATCATCCTTGTTCACAACACGTTCGAGATCGAATACAGCATCTGACGAACAATACATGGGATTAGCCCCATCACTCGATCCGTTCAGGCGTAATTTAGCAGAGGAAGATGAAGTTGTTCCTGCGGTTAATCCCGAAACGGGTCTCGATCCAGAATTAGCGAGTGATGAGGACAGTGAAGATCAGTATGACTCATGGAATAACCCTAGTTTAACAAATTTCCTCACTACGCTTCCGTACGGTTGTGGGGACACGCTCGAGTCGACAACAACAACCCCAGCTGTATCCGAGTACGCTGGAAGTGACGATGAAGTATGGAGCTTCAACACGAGACAATCCCAATCCAGACTGCATCAAAAGAGTTCACGTGAAGACGGTTTTCGCACTCACTTTAGAGATCGAAGTGCAAGTTCACGACGACGCAGCATTACAAGTAATCGACCTGTTCTTCATGCAAGGAGAGGTCTAAAGCGACAAATCAATAGCAATGTGGGACAGCAGATAGATGCACAACTCGGTTCATCCCCTATAGAACCAAGATCTGTTTCACCCTTTCCAATAAAGCATCATCGGTCTTCATCTGCTCCCGTAAAAGTAGAAATTAATCCCGTCTTTCTTCAACATATGAGCAGATTATTGCGACAGTCACTGATAGAAGCTAAAATAGACTTGTCAGAGGGTTGGGAAGACGTCATAATGAAGCTAATGTTAAAAGTATCCGATTATATAAGCACGGATATTCGAAATGGCGATGAAATTGACATTCGCCACTACGTAAAGACAAAGAGGATACCAGGAGGCACACCACAAGATTCAGAGTATGTTCAGGGTGTAGTCTGCACCAAGAATGTTGCTCACAAGAAAATGCCACGACGACTCGTCAACCCTCAAATCCTTATTCTCACGTTTGCACTGGAATATCATAGAGTAGAGGATGAGTTTATGTCTCTGGAGCCTGTTATTCAACAGGAAGAAGAATATCTACAAAACCTGGTTCAACGCATTGTCGATTTAGGTCCCGACTTGATATTAGTTGAAAAGTCCGTCGCCCGGAAGGCATTACAATTTCTCTTGGATAGAAAAGTTACCGTTGTCATCAATGTTAAACCAACAGTAATCGAAGCCGTAGCCAGATGTACGCGTGCTTGTATTATTTCATCAATCGACCAGCTCGCTCAGCTTGCTTCGGAACCACGGGTAACTAAATGTGGAGAGTTCTCTGTTAGAACTTATGTACATGAACTGCTGCCTGGCCATCGAAAAACATATCTCGTTTTCGACAAGTGTCCAAAGGAACTCGGATGTACTCTTATTCTCAGAGGAGAAGATATCAAAAAGCTCGAGAAAATCAAATTAATTACGTATCTGATGACGCACGTTGCTTATAATTTGAAATTAGAGACTGCTTTGATGACAAATCAAAATGCACGAGTTCCCTCAATGTTTGTGGATGATGGAGATGAGAAAGATGCAGACAAGACAAACGCGGCTAACAGCGATGCCGAGAAATCGGAAACAACTGACAAACGTTTAGTTACATTTGAATCTACGTTATTTTCCGCATCACCATTTGTCAAATTCCCTCTCCCATACCTATTAATAAGGGTGAGACAGGCGGAACGCAAATTAACGGAACTATCGGCAGCACGCAACCAAACATTCAAGGATAGCGAAAAGCAACACTATTCCACGATAGGAAGTACTAGCAGCATGCATTCTGGTATATCGTATTTACCAGAGCAAGTAATCACTGAGAACGAACTAAAAGACGCCTGCAATGAAAATAACCTGAGAACAAGGGCATGGAGTCGTTTCTTAAATAGTTACGAACATGTTACTCCTTTTTCCCATCAGAATATTGTTGTCTTGTATTCAAACGTCTGCAATGTCACCCAGCTGTCATGTCAAGGGCCACTAATTCGTGTTCTCGAGTACTACCGCGAGACGGATATAACGCTAGGTCAGTATCTCGAAGAAACTTACACCGAAGCCAGTATTCTATGTCCAGTAAAGTCCTGCGATCGACCACTGCTTCTGCATCACAGAAACTACTGTCACGGATTTGCAAAGATTACCGTCAGCGTCATTGATGAATGCCCTATTCGCGATATTGAGAATACTATTATGATGTGGAACTATTGCAAAAAATGCAAAAGAGCAACCCAAGCCATTCCAATGTCAGATGATACTTGGAAATATTCGTTCGGAAAATATCTCGAGCTTTCATTCTATCAAACAGAGCTCAGAAGCCGTGTTGAAGGATGTCCTCATAGCATATACCGTGACCATCGGCGCTTCTTTGGTTTCAATAACCTTACTGTCTGTTTTGAATATCATTCAATCGATCTTATGGAAATATATTCGCCACCCATGACTTTATATATCAAACCGGAAGTTCATATTCGATTAAAGAAACGAGATGTAGATACTATTCGGCAGAAGATCATCGGATACTGGGATTCTGTTTCAGATAGAATTAAAAACTTTAACGAGGATGCCGTTCAAAAAGAAAAACTCGAAGCATGCAAACAGGAACTTTTAGAGATGTTGCGACGGGTTGCAACCGAAAAAAAGTATATGCTTCACTTGCTGCAGCAGACATATAAGAACAGTGGGCCAACCGATATTCTTGCACTTAATTTTGTATTAACTACTTTACAGGAGAAAGTAGTAGCTTGGGAACAGAACTTTAGTGAAATTGTCCGGCAATATCTACGTCCACGATTAACAGCAGTTCAGCTTAGACGTTTTCTCGGTGAGGATAAATATAACATGGCTCCGGAGCAGGGCTCCTCTGTATCGCGGTTCTATGACTTACCTCTCGTCAATATGGACTATGACGATGATCCAAGTATCAAATCAGATGAACAACCCGTTCCATCGATTCTGCCGAAACTAGGAACTTCACCTAATTCAGAACATGAATGGAAAGATGGCGATATTCGAAATGATGACGAAATAGAGAGTTTAGAGATTGATATGGAGAAAGCTCATTCGCAGTCAGTTTTTATGGACCCGAAGATAAGTCGACGATTGTCGATGAAATGGATGAAGGCGGAACGCCCAAGCAGACTACAGAGACCACCGTCAGAGGCATTATTTTCTCCAATAATGAACAAAGGCAACCCATTCCAACAAGAGTCTGAAGATATTGTCCCTCCTCGCATAGAGCCTACTACCATTAAACACAAAAATAAGCCTAGTGAACTGAAAGACCCAGCGACGGATAGTTACGGCTCTCGGCATCGAGCGTCCTCCGGTTTTGCTCGCGCTTTGCAGGGGTCAAATTCTTCCAATTTTTCATCTTCATCGCGCCCAAGTCGCCTGCATTTTGTATTCGAGAAGAAGGAAATCGACGAGAAACAACCCGAACAAGGCTCTAGAAAACACAAGCAAAAGGCGGCGAATAATAGCGATAACGAGAAGCATTCATCTCGTCTGGGAGGCAAGTCTGCTCGAACAGATCTTGCGAATACTGATGAGCCAGCCCGTCGTTCGTTGGTACAAAAAATAGAAAATAAAGGTCGTAAGCTCTTTAGAAAAGGTAAAGCAAAAAAGGCGAGGCCTACAATTTTGCCATCAAAACCGAAAATTGAGGTTTTTGACAATGTTAAGGAGGCAGTCAAGGAATCTGATGATGAAGGACATGAGGCAGAAGAAGAAGACGACGAATTTGAGGGCGAATTACGATCGTTTTGCATGAACAGGACCGATGCGTTTGACGAGTCTCTAGGTACTGAAGAATTTTATTCCGTGCTCAGGCAAGTACCGACAGACGAATTATATATCGATTATTCGGCGTCAACATTTTTGGGACAAGATTACGACGACGCACCTGCGCCCGAGTTCGAACGAGCAGCAGCAGATGGAGGATCTGCACAACCAAGGGTCGCATTCGTGAGATCATTGGCAAACTTGTTGGCTGATCGTGGTGCAAATGCTCTGAAGCCTTTGGACTATCCGTTACAATCTACAGAACATGTGTTCCCTGATTCGAAAGTTATTGTTAGAGAAGATGAACCCAGTTCCATCATAGCATTCACGCTGAGCTCCAAAGATTATCTCGAAAAATTACATTCTGTGCAGAAAACTCAGCCATCTACGACATCCTCGGAGAGATTTATGCCTGGCGACGAACTTAAAAGCGGTTCACAGGGTTCGGATTGGGGAATATTGGATGTTGATGCTGGGGATGCATTGCTAAGGGAGACGGGATCACATATAAAATATCAAGTGCAAGAGGGATCTACAAAATTATTATGTAAAATATTTTTCGCTGAACAGTTTGATGCTCTGCGGCGTAATTGTGAATGCGACGAGACGTATGTCCAATCACTTGCACGTTGTGTCAAGTGGGATTCTTCTGGTGGTAAATCCGGATCAGCATTTTTGAAAACAAGAGGTTAGTATTGGTTAACTTTGTGTGGTTTATGCGGTTATTGCGCATCTAAACTCACGTTGTGTCGGTTCTTAGATGATCGGCTAGTGATGAAACAAATGTCGCGTCTGGAATTCGATGCTTTCCTGAAATTTGCACCAACATATTTCAACTACATGCACAAAGCATTCTATCAAGAGGTATGAGTGAACTGAAGTTTGGTTGTCAGCTATATTATAGCGAACCTAGTCTTCTGATAATTGTTGCATTACTAGCTTCCGACAGTTCTGGCCAAAATATTTGGATTCTATCGTATTGGGTACAAAAACGAACATTTAGGAAAATCTATCAAGATCGATGTGATTGTCATGGAGAATCTTTTCTATGAGCGAAAGATATCAAAGGTAATGTGTCTTGATTGGAAGATGTTTTTTTAGGGATCATTGACTTGGGCTGGTGTTAATCCCGACTTTCAATTTAGATTTTTGATTTGAAAGGGTCAATGAGGAATCGTCATGTACAAAGTACCGGGAAAGAGAACGAAGTATTATTAGATGAAAACTTACTTGAACGTAAGTTCAATTGCGTAATTTAAATCTACGTTTGGTTCTTCCGCTAGTTTTACGATAACTGATATATTATTTTACAGTGTTGAACGACCAACCATTGTTTCTTCACGAACATTCAAAGGCAGCGTTATACGTCTCGCTGTGGAACGATACACTCTTCTTGTCACAACAGAACGTGATGGACTATTCGTTACTGGTTGGAATTGATGAAGAGAATCAGGAGCTTGTAGTGGGCATAGTTGGTTAGTTTTCCACCGTTTGTTATTGATAGAAAATGGAGACGAATGGAATACCTTTTCTGACAATAAGTTGCTTTCGTAGATTTCATTCGTCAATTTACCTGGGATAAAAGACTAGAAAGTTGGGTGAAGGAGACTGGGTTCCTCGGGGGAGGTGGTAAGGAGCCCACAATTGTTTCGCCTCGTCAATACAAGCGTCGGTTCCGAGAAGCTATGGACAGGTATATAAGGAATCGCAAGTGTGTTTGTCCTTTGTGAATTAATTAACTAACTAGCTTATCCGTTTATAATTATTTCAGATACTTCTTGATGGTACCTGACGTATGGTTTACGTTTAAAGATTATCGTAAGAATCGATCAAGGGGAATCGAGAGAGCTAGTGAGTAGAAGATCGAAGCAGTCAGTATATTCAAGTTGACGTGTTTTTATTTACCCCAAAAAACGTATTTCATGTAATATTTTGTATATTCATTCTTTTTGGTATTTAATATTGCCAGATAGACCTGTAAAATAGACTTCTTATTTATATCCTACTTTCTGGTATTGTTGTTGTTGTTGTATGAGATAATAGCTATTTATTATGTTTTATCATTAATTGTCAACTGTTGCGTAAATAAGTAGAAATGGGGCAGCAACTAGATTTTTCGTTTCACCGAAATAATTTAGCAGCAATAAAATCGCAACAGTACAGGTTGACCGATATAAAAGAACAGGACATTATTACAACATTGAGTTCGCCTAAGCAAGCCAATTGATAAAGAATACGAAAGTAATGCTTGGCTTGCAAATGATAAAGCTCGGGAACGAAGATATGATTATCAATTAATATACCGGATAAAAGAATGCGAGATTGCATAGATGATACTTACACTTCACTAATGACGCTCTTCTCTTTCAATATGTTACATCCCAGATACGACGTAAATCATCGGGAATAGCCATTGGAATACAACGACGTTCTGTGCTAACCACATACACCTGTTCCTTTTTTTTCTCTACATCATCTTTCAACAATTTAAAGCTGGAGATTGTCGTGTACGGCTGCACGACCGTAATGCATACGTTAGAATTTTGAGCTATGGACTCTGATCCAACACGCATCATCTTGTTAGTGGATGTGTTATTACCACCAATAATTGCGAGTTTTCCTGGACACAACGCTTGTCGTTCAGTCACGACATTGTTAAACGATGCAGTAAATCGACATTCCAAAGTAGAAAATAGTCGTGATGTCTCGGTCGGTGATGGAGGCCCACACTCGGACAAACCCTTGTATGCATGCAACAGAGGAACGTAATGTCGTAATTGTTTCAACCAGTGCTCGTATTCTTGGACTTTGATGTACAAGTTGAATTCCTTATCGAGTACAATTTTCAGTTCGAGTTTATTTAGCTCGTCTTTGGGAATACCCATCAATAAAGCCCAAGCTTTGTTTTCCCACATATAATCGTCCAAGTATTTCTGGGCGAAAATAACAGCAATCGCAATAAAGCGAGTTACTGAGCCGAAATCAGCCTTAGTCAATGCATTCATTTGTGCTAACATTCGAGCAAAGAAGAGTGTAATGTAGATTGCGTGCTCTTCTAGTTGAACCATGTGAAAAAGCTTAAAGATTGGTAAAACATATTGGGTAAGATTTTGACCCACAAACAGGGCTATGGGTTCAGGTCAAATGAATTGTAAAAGATTAACAGCGAACAAAACCGTTTTCTCGGTCATAAGAATACATTACTTGATCAATGGCCTGAACTAGCTCATCGCTAGCAAGAAACGGCAGATGCTCGGGCCATCTCATGGCTGGGAGGCCATCATGACGATGACACGTATACAGTTGATGAAGTATATGCGCTGCCATCTCGTAAAGTAACCCATTTAATCGCGCCGGTTTATTTCCATTTGTTTGTCCAGCCGTCATATCTGAGTGTGGCGACGATATGTAGAAAGTATTTCATGGAGATTTCACAAAAATACATACACAGAGAATATATATATACATACATACAGATACATACGAAAAATGGTGGGTGATTTAGAATGGCTATCGAAAAAAGAATACTATTAAAAAAGACGCGTCTTGCTGTAAAATAAAATAAGAAACGCGTAAAATCACGCCTTCACTGTTGCAGAAGCGGCAGTTTGTAAACACAAGGGCTCTCTCACAAGGTTTGCTCGTATGAATAGTTTACAAAGGCCTAAACGTTTTCTGAACAAGCAACCCAGAACCGTGTCAGAAACAAAGTCCCAGTAGCTCACCTTAGTAGTAACGAACACCCCCGACCAAGCTCGTATCGGGTTAGAAATGCTGAGGGTATTTCGAGAACGTATAAAAAGACTGGCTATGAAGGTAGATGAACTACCAGAGAAAAGTGGTAACAAAACAAATAACCGAGCCTGCTTATAATAGTGGGAATGATGCATCGACAAAACATGATTGCGAAACCGCTCTGTAGGTCAAGTTTCACAATAACGTGATTTGCGGGATTTTTATTGGTCGCTTTCGATAACCTGCATTATTATCGTTGTGCGATCAATGTAATTATTGCGATGTAGCAAACAAGAATGAAAAGACACCGAGATACTACCAAATAACACATTCATTGTTTCGCTTTAATAGATAAAAGGCCAGGTCAAGGCCTACCTTGTAAGGCCACTCCTGACAATGCGTAGTTTATATTCGACTGCTGCGCAGCGAGAACCTTGCGTTTGTGACTTTTACGCCGCAGAAATTGTACAAATGAACGTCAAGAAAGGATATCATTGACCTCCAATATTGATATAAAAATTACAACTCCTCAAACCTGTATACGACAAACAGTTTTTTGCTTTATTATGCCAGAGTAATGATACCACAATACAATAAAGTCACCCTAGTGAAATACGAGCAAAATGACGTATTAATACATGGAAAAAAGAGACCATGCCTTCAAGCATGCCTTCAAAAAACGACTACATTACACGCGTAGTTTTCCTGCAGTCAAGTACTGCGGAGAATGTGTGTACCACACAATTAGTCATAAAAATTATTTGTGTGACAAGTTGGCGCAAAAACGGGCGTAGCAAAAATTTATTCAAGAGAGAGCTCGTAAAAAAAAATTTCATTTCACAAACCATACTCTTTTTTTCGAACAGCACAATTTCGAACAAAATCTCTTTGCTATCTTATATCGATAATACGAAATGGCTAAAAGTATGCGAAGCAAATCCAAACGTCGCTTCCGTGCCATAAAGCGTCAGAATGTGTTCGCCCCAGTTGAAGAGGCTCGATTACGGAGACTTGCGGCTAAGCAGGCTGAGGCAACGAGAGTCTCTGATAACAAGAATAACAAGAATAGCATGGACTATGAAGCACAGACAACGACAGTCGAAGAGGATACGCAAGGTTCGTCTTTGTATATGGCTCTTGGACTAATTGATACAGAGTTTTTGGATGTAAGAAATATAATGGGAATGTTGGATATTTTGAACGAGTTATTGAGCGCATGAACTGAAGAATGTTCTGATCGATATGTGATAGCTGTAGTAATGGATGTCGATGCGCCTAAGATATCAACAAGCACGCCCAAGAATGGGAGGTATAAGGGAAAGAAGAAGGGGAAGAAGAGGGGAATGGGTAAAACGAAAAGGAAGATTCTTAATGCATTAGTCCACTTTAGGAGATGATTTTGTTATAAGTGATTACAACAACCTCCAGCATTGAAGTAATTAGTGGGACATTATTGGTCGTATCCTAAACGAAGACATTGTTCTGGATATCCTTACGATCACACAGCTTCTTTATGGGAGGGGTCGGGAACAAAGAAACGAAATGCTGGGTGGGTATTCGTTTGACCGATATTTGAAGCATTTCTGTATAATATTTTCATAGAAATTTTCTGATTGTAGCAGAAATCGTATATATATGTATTCTTCTCATCATGTTGCTGTTACTGCTACTATTGTACCGATTTTAATCATGTTTCTGATTGGATTCTCTCCAATCAATAAATCTATTTTCGTATCCTGAGCAAACATATTAACGATCAACGATGATATACTTGTGAATATTCTAGACAATGTGAAAAAGGTACCTTGAATCGGTCTTTGACATACATCGGTTCTTCCTGTTGATGAATAAGCGTCAAATGATAGGTTTCGGTCCCGAACATAAAAATACTTTTCAATTCATACCAAGACTTTCGTAACGTCTAGCGGCAAACCAATCATACAGCGAATCGCGTATCGGTTTAGGAATAAGTCTCCCTATATAATAAAGGATAGACCAGGGTGCATCCAAGTATCTTGCCATTTCCAATGACGAGTCTGATTTCAAGAATATTTTAGGCATCGGGAGATTTAGTGGATCGGATTGGGGAATGTCAAACTCAAGCACGATTGCAGTCGAAAGATTAGTTGGCAGGTTGTAATGCGAGAACAGATTCGATGCAACGGTTGATTGTAAAGAGGCGAAACGTACGATTGGTGGTCTATTATTGTGTTTAATGACGAAATTGACAGACTTGTTGCAGATGTTACAGACGCCTGTCAATACATAGCCAAGTATTAGCGATAGATAGATATACAGTCCATGGATAGATCATCGGATCAATATGCTTGCCATCATAAAATGAAATGACATTGCGTCCTTCCTTAAGGTTCAATAACTTGAGTGTATGCTGAGTAATCATTCTGCAAATGAAATAGAACAGAATATTAAGAATCGAATGCTTTATGTAGCATGTTGGGATTATATCGTTAATATAAGATACTTTTTTATACATAGTGATGATAACTCATTTGCACTATATCACTTAGTTAAATTGTCGTTGTCAGCACTCTTGTCGTTCTCGTTAATGACTACCTCGTTCTAAATCCCCAATGTTCTTACGATTGTTGAACGTATACTTACGTTAGAAGAGAATATAGTCCGTAGTTGACTGTTAAATGTCAAATGGTTAACAAAAGTGAGTATTGAATAAAGTACAAATGTTTCTTCAGCAGTAATAAATAACGTTCAGAGAAATAATTGATTAGGTAGCGTCGCTGTTTTCATCAACACTATACGTGAATAAGACAAATGCCAGAATCATCCTTAGTTAAAACACGAAATCCTCTTTAAACCTCAGATACGTACCGTAAAAGTGCTTGCCGTCGTCGTTTTCACCATCAAGGGGAAAAAAATACACTTATCATGTTACACAAGCAAATCGAATCATCCAGCAGCAGAAGTCTCTATCTTTTTATCACTCTCAGACTGTGATGGCAATGGAGGCATACCGACATCGCCGAAATCATCCTGCTTCACTGCATACATTGAATACGCGACTAAAGATAGTTTGGTATGTCAAACGATAACATACACACACTCGTTTGTGTTCATTATCTTATTGTTTGTCAGGTTGACACTCCATTTATACGCACTAAATAAAGGATACACACTGCTCCAACGAAACCAAGTAACCCAAGACCAGTTAATGCATTACGTACAAGCCATGGGCGACGTGCTCTTTGTAACGCAGGTGTGAATGAGGAATCTTTCGTCTGATATTTTGATGGTTCGGCAAGCATGATTAGGAAAAGTATAATAAAATGACGAAATCTAAAAAAAAAAAAATTTTTATGGACCGTCATGTGATAAAGGTATGTCACTCGGCCAATCATGAAAGCGAAATTGATGTCTTGTAGACGATACCATTTGTGAGAAGTTCATTCTTGTCCAACACATAGTTAATAGCTCATGCACCGCTTCATTTTGGATACCAATAACACATTGTTAAGTTCACCATTGGACATCAAGGTTATCTCGCCTTTCAGAATTACGGCTGACGAAATATCTATCAACTGATATTCTAACTTGACTTTTTATTTGTATTATATTTTGTAATTGCTATCACGGACGAATTCGAGTAAAAGAATTCCTAATTTACAATGTTCGCTAAATAATAACGAAGTATTGTTTTGTCGCATCGTTTACTGCTATTATTGGTTGAAAATTGGTTAGCTTAGTAACTAGAATAGAATTGGAAAGTTGGTCCGCATCTGGTAGTTAAACTCTTTTGAGTAATTGATCGGAGTTTTTTTACCCCAGTTAATATTGTTTGGTAACACTTGTTCTTTAAATGGTAATCTTTATCTTTATCAATTTGAGGTTCATCTGTTAGAAGCGTGAGAGAATTTTCTTTATCATACATCTTATCGAGTTTGACTATGTAATACCACATAGAACAGTTATACTATTAGCATACACACATAATAATAATTAGCCAATAAACGGCAGGAAGATCACTTCATAATGCGCAATAATAATATCAATGTAATAGTGAACACTCGAACAAGCGAATTTATTTATGAATAGCAAATATGAAAACATAATAGTAGAAATTTAATGTTTAACGCAGTCGGCATATGCTGAATGCACGTTGTTTATTCAATCTATGACAAAAAAAATACATATCCTCTATTGCGTCTTGCTCACTCTGCACTCCTCTCACTACTGCAGTATTACCCATTTCATCAGAATAAGGATCAAAACTAAGGAAATGTTTATCCCTCTTTAGTTGCATTCTCACACTCTACTCCCTACCATTTTACGTATACTCATATTCGCATAATGCACTAATAAACGTCTAATATTCCTGAAATATGATAATTA